TCAGGGATGATTTCAATATTGTTTCTCTTTTATACATTATATAAGATATTGCTTAAAGGTATGTCCCATTTGCAGGCCAAAAAAATGAAAAGGTTAAATTTTAACGTAATTTGAAAGATTATACTAATTTAGAACTTCCCAAGAAGGGGGGGGGGGGGGCTTGAAAATGTCTTTAAGTGGGAAAATAACGACTATTAGTTGTCAAATTAACTTAAGAGCTAGTAATTAATAGTCTGATTTTCAGATCATTGTACCAAATGGTCGTACGTTTTATGCTGCGCAAAAATTCAATCAGTTAAATTTTGGCCATTACAAGAAGGGGGTTATTGATGTAGAAAAAAAGGCTAATGCACCCTTTACAGCTCATTTTATGGATGTTGTTACCAAAGAAGAAAAAAGCCAGTCAATCACTCAATAGTGTCTGACAGAGTCTAGCAAGTTGAACGGGTTTCCTTGCATAATTTAAATATTAGGACACTGCTAACGTTTAACATTCACAAAAGGGACATATCTTTAAGCATCATGCTTCGCGTGTACGTGAATGTGATCATTTGAAAAATTCATTTGCGAGCGAGCGACGCGAGCAATGAACATGTTTTTATAATGTGTGAGGTCGCAGTGCGAAAAATTACATCTCATAAAGAGGAAAAAACCTAATCCTGGTAGAATTATAAGCACCTTCTCATAACGGAAGACTGAAAAGACTAGATAAGTAACATAATTATATCATCTATAAATGCGAAGATGGGACATTGGGCGATACGGTGAAGAGGGATTCGAGCGGCGCTGTGGCTTAGTAATTGGTAAAGCGCCTGTCTAGTAAACAGGAGATCCCCGGTTCAAATCCGGGCAGTGCCTTTTGTCGGTCAGCATTGTAAGTATAAGGTGCATGTGTGTGGTGAAAAAGCATTTCATTCACCTCACTATGAACATGACAGACAAAGAAAGCGGACAAAATATACAGTTCCTCAGGTATACAAAGGAACATCCCTTCACTGCTATTATGTAAAAAGGGGAATATGCATGTGACACCTGTTCCACACATTTTTACATAATAGCAGTGAAGGGATGTTCCTTTGTGTACCTGAGGAACTGTATATTTTGTCCGCTTTCTTTGTCTGTCATGTTCATATGCCTGCTATCATCCTTTGTCAGAACACTAATTGCATAGATAAGTAGGTGCTCTTCTGGGGTAAAGGTTTTGCCTAAGAAAAACAATTTGTAAACTATATTGAAGTATTTTCAAATAAATGAGTTACAATATTTTTCACCGAATATAATTTTTAAGTTCTTAGCTATGATTTCCCCTTATTGAAAAGGAATGATTTTGTTATTGAATCAAAAAGTCTTTCCAACTAAAGCTTGGTGCATGATACATGTACAACTTCGCCCAGTACGTCATATTTTCAAGAAATAACTGCGCCCATGACATGCTAAAAGACACTACATCATGCCAAGAATCATAATTGATCAGATTTAACAGGGGCATTTATCGGAGGTGGAAGGGGCTTTTATGAGAAAGGGGAAGTGGCTCTTATTAAAAAGAAAAAGAGGCACATGTTAAAATAAATGGGCACTTATCAGAGATGAAAAGGGGTAACTATAAGAAGGAGCTAGAAGGGCACTTGTCAGGAGGGGAAGGGGCATTTGTCAAAGTGAAAAGGGGCACTCATTAGAGATTAAGAAGTGCACTAATGAGAAAGGAAAATGGACATTTATTGCAAAGGAAAATGAGAACTTGTCGAAGAAAAAGGGGCACGTGTCAAACTAAAAGGGCACGGAATCAGAGGTGAAAAAGAGGTAGGGGCACTTTTACAAATTAATAGTGGCACGTGTCAAAGTTAAAGGGGCAACTTCCATGTGAAAAGGTGCACTTTGGGGGTACTTGATAAAGTAGGGGACATCCGCCCCCTGACCCCCGTGAGCGCCGCCTCTAATTGACTTACAGTTTTTCAATTTATAGTGACGTCCAACTGTCTGACGATGTCTGCTACGTACATTATAAGGCAAGGACGATATGCTTTGATCAAGGGGCACAGTGAGCACAGTTGTCACCGCCCATTTCTGCCCCAAACTCTGTTTTAAATATACTTTATACACTTATATTTCCTCTTCCTGATTTTGATAACCCCCCCCCCCCCCCCCACTCCCGAAAGGATTTTGGATCAGTCAATATGTAAATCTCAGGGGCCCTGGCCATTATTACTTTGTATGTGGTTGTTCTTTGATATTCTTCTTCTATTGTATTGATGTTTTTGTACATATATATTTTTGTAAGGGTCAATAAATGAAAAGAAATGAAATGAACTAGATCTGAAAAGATTCTACTTTTCATTCGTATGACCTATTCATGGGAATGGCTAAATGTCAATGTATCACAGAGGAAATTTAAAGGAAACTTTAACCCAAAGAATGAATGAAGGTATTCTGAAAAATGAGATGTATATATGCCCTTTGATGTACAATATTTCTTACGAAAGTGCACAAGAGTAATATAAATCAAGGTATTCTTAGCATGATGTAAAGTATTTTGGCATGACATGGGCACATCTATTTTCTTGAAGATATGACGTACCAGGGGAAGTTGTACATGTATGTATCGTGCACTAAGCTTTAGTTGGTGAGGCTTTTTTTTAGGGCAAATCAAGAGGTTAAAAATTTTATTTGGTGAAAAAATATAACAGGGGAACAATATTGTAAATCATTTATTTGAAAATACTTTAAATATACACATGTAGGAGTTGAAAAATCTATATATTTTAGGCAAAACCTTTACCGCAGAAGAGCACCCAATTAACTTATTTATGCAATTTGCGTTCTGACAAAGGATGATAAGCAGGTAAATGAAATGCTTTTTCACCACACACACATGTTGACAATGCTGACCGACAAAAGGCACAGCCCGGATTTGAACCGGGGATCTTCTGTTTACTAGACAGACGCTTTACCAACTAAGCCACAGCGCCATATACGAGTTTCTATAGTACGTAATACTCAATCTACCATCTTTTTTCCAATATGATCTTATTTGCTTACGTGCACGACATCTGGTTTGGTATCATGGTATGTGACACGTAGAAACTATTGAATATATTTCGTTTCATGCAAATACCATAGCAATAGCATCCAAATATTTACAATTTTTTTTGTTTTCATCAGTACAATTTACAAGTTTCCTAGATATCAAAGAATCTTTGCCTAGAGTTATATCATAATATTTTGTTGTATTGTATTCCCTTAATATGACAAAAAAGTTGAATTGCTACAAACGAGATAACTATAGGCCTTCTTTATAATATTATCGGTGAAAGGGCCAGGCAAAATGAAGTGGCATAAATAAAGAGAAAATGAGAGAAATAAAACACATGCTGAATGAAAAGAGAGAGAAAGAGGCTGGGAAAATAGTTGTCAGAGTCATATTATTAGTGAACTCAGGGGCGGCAGAGCGACTTCCGAAGTGGGAGGGGCACCTACAAAAAAAGGCACTTTCAAGAAAAAAAAGAACACTTACAATGGGAAATCTCAAAGCGAAGATAGACAATTTTTTTTAGACATTTGGTATTTACCCCTACATTGTGTTTACATCACCAGGAATGATTTCAATATTTGTTTCTCTTGATACATCATACAAGATATTGCTTAAGCATCATAATTTGCAGATGGGTGTGATGGTATGGAAATTCATTTTTCGAGCGAGCGAAGCTATTACTTTTCAATGAGGCAAATCATTGCTAAAAAGTTAACAATCATATTTGGTAGAAATATATATAACAGCGGAACAATATTGTTACTCATTTATTTGAAATGACTTCAATATAGGAATTGACAAATCTATATCTTTTAGATAAGATCACCAACTTATCTATGCAATTCTCGTTCTGACAAAGGATGATAGCAGGTGAATGAACTACTTTTTCATCACACTCACATCCGGGAATGCTGACCGACAAAAGGCACTGCCCGGATTTAAACCGGAGATCTCCTGTTTACTAGACAGACGCTTTACCAACTAAGCCACAGCGCCGCTCGATGGTACGTAGTGCGTCGTACACTGTATTTTATCTTTTTCCAATCGTGATCCTTATTTGCTTACGTGCACGACAATGGTCTGGTATGTGCCACGTAGCAACTATTTAGTGTATTTCGTTTGATGCAAAGTACATCCAAATATTCAAAATAACATTTTAACTGTTTATTAACTATGTTTCCTAGATATCAAATAATCTGTGTCTAGAGTTAGATCAAATATTGTATTGTATTGTTTTACCTCAATCTGACAGCTACAAATAATGTAACATTTATAACATTATAAAAGCAAAGGCCAAATGAAGAGGCAGAAATAAAGAGAAATATTATAGACAGAAAGAAAGAGAGTGGGGACATGGTTGTCAGAGTTATATTATTAAACTCAGGGGCGGCGGAGCGACTTCCACGGTGGGGGGGGGACAACAAAAAAAGGGCACTTTCCAGACAAAATGAACATCCTTACACCTTTAAAAAAATCAAAAAAATCACCAGGGATAAAAATAAATAAAAAAGGCACTTATGAGATTAAAAATGGGCATTTGTCGACGGAAAAGGGGCACCCCATCAAATTTTGATAGGGGCATTTTTAAGAGTTGAAAAGGGGATAGGTCCCTTATATATAAGAAAGGAAAAGGGGCACGCGCGTATGATTGTTAAAAGGGAAATTATCTGTCTGACGATGTCTGCTACCATTATGGTTGGTAGAATAAAGGGCACAACGTACAGTGAGCACAGTTGCCAACGCCCATATATATTCCGGCCCCTAAGTTTTGTTTTAAATACGTGTATATGATGACCAAACTCCAATTCCCCCGTGACCCTTGTAATACTTGTATATACTTTCAAAATGCCTTGCTGCAACCCCATCATCGTCATCAAAATACATCATCATCTTTGTCTCTCTCCGTTTGCTTTACCAATATCATTCAATTCTACACTTACTTAACATATTTGCAAAATATCTCATCTTAATACCCAAGTTCAAATTTATTTTTCATGGTTCATAATCTCACTACCTAAATTCCTCACAACATACTACTTTCCAACATCATCCAATGAAATTGTATCCATACAAAAGAGACATTTGACTTGAATTTAAAGAATTACAATTTGACAAGATATATGATCTTCGTGATGATATTTATATGGCATATATGTACAGGCCAATTTAATTCAAAGCACAACATAGTGTGATAACAAATTATTACATTTCTGCATAAACTTGAATCTTGTAATTGACAAGGAAGTCATTATGGAAAAATGCAAACATAGACAAGAAAAACCAGTGTTTCTAATGTACACAACCCTGTAAAATGACTCCAATTGACATCCCTAAAACTTGCAAGACATTTACCTGACATAGCACCAAGGAAGATGCAACCATCACTTGAACTTTTCAAATACAAGATGTACTCTTATCATATGAATGTTAATGTATGTCAGTAAGAAAGCACCCATTCATTTCAATTTGTGTTGGAACTACACTAGGAGCATTGATAATGTTAAAATCAGTTCCATCATGATTTTCATATCTGCATCTCTATTTCTAACCTCATTTTGACATAAATACAAGTCATGTACAAGCAATCTTGGTTAAAAAAAAAAGGAAAGTTATCTTAACCTAAATATAGGTACATGCAGTCTTAACGAATAAAACTTCTACAGGGATTCATGTGTGTGTACCGGTACACAAATTAAATATTTGAAGATGTTACAACATTAAAGGGTATTTCTAGAATGAAATCAGTTTTTTTCCTCCAGTTTTCATCATGTTATTAAAATGGAAGATACCATCCATTATATTGCACAAACTGACATCATTGTGACATCATAGTATGGAACCTTGGAATGCATATGATCAATTTTTCAAGGAATAGGCCATGAACTTGGACTTACATTTTTGTTTTGTGTCAGATAAGTATCTTTATAGCATCACAATTCCAATATTGAAAGAATTCTGTGTATCCAAACCGTTATGGAATTATCTCACATATCAGACACCTAAAATGTGTTCTTAGAATAATTTGGCACAAAGGCCTACTGTAATCTTGTTTACTTGACTGTGCATCAGTGTAATGGTAAATCATTCTAACGCTCCTTCATTATGGGGATCACTATAGCTGTTTCTCAGTAGAAATCTCCATCCACTAAAACATGTATTGGGTTTTCAGCCATCACTGTCTATAATAAAACCTTCTCCTTCGTCTCAAGTACGTGGCGGGTATACGGACAGATCAAGGTTAGAGATCCAGGCAATGACAACCTTTACATCGTCCATTCTGTTTCAACTAATTTCATCACATCGATGTCTGCAGTGTATTGCAGATGAATCTGATCATGCTAACATTAGAGTTCTGGTTATTGAAAATCATTTCCCCATGATTTTGCGTTTCTTGGCTAAAGATGGCTTCATGTTTGAAGGTCCGGTGTTAGTGAAGAAAGTGCCACTGGCACTACTTGTTGTATTGGTTGAACTACTGAGTCCTGCAGCTGCTGCTGCGGCTGCCGCGGCCCCTGCTGCTGCTGCTGCAGCTGCTTGTCCAGTCACAGTGTTACTATGTGAGGTAACACTAGCGGCCATGCTTGGGACTGAGGAGGAGCCGGTACTTGTAATGTTTGCATTGTTCTGAGATTGGTTGTTTTCTTCCTTGATCTCTTCTTTGATTACAGGTCTTGCTGAAGCACTCTCAGAGCTCATACCTTCAACAGGCACTGGTCGGTCTCCAGGCTTGGGCTGAGTGATGAAAGCAAAGCAGAAGAAAATCATACCATATCAAGACACTATCTAAACAGTTTTAAAAGCAAATACTATCCACTAATTAATTTCTAGTCTAAAAGACCCACGATCCACCTACATACCAATCATTAAGCAACTTCCTTATGTAGAGAAATGGAGATGAAAATTGAGTGTCAAATGATATGTAATACAGATAAGGGAAAAATTTAAAATCTACATTACAAAAATATAGATACTGAAGTTTCATGTGCTCACAAATTACTACCTTGAATTATATCAATGTAAGATCCGTTATCCGAAACCTAATTCAAACCACACAGGAATATCTCTCATTTCCTGATTTGGAAGTAAAACAAATTTAAAAACTAAAGTGCTGGCTTCAAATCCTCAAACTTAATCATATGCTTTTAAGTGCATGAAACAATAATATATTCACAAGGACAACATTTAGTGTTATTCAAACTCCTGTGGGTTACAGTTTTGGTAATTGTACATTCTTTCTCGGTCAAGCTACATGACTTTAAACCACAATGCTGATAAATCATTTAAAATTGTAACCGGTATCATCCCACAACCTAAAATACTATTCTTCAGTCAAATGGATTTCCCCTTCAAGTACAAGGTTAATTTACTTATTTTAATTTTTAATTCCTCCTCTGTCAAGCTACATGACTTTAAACCACAATGCTGATAAATCATTTGAAATTGTAACCAGTATCATCCCACAACCTAAAATACTATTCTTCAGTCAAATGGATTTCCCCTTCAAGTACAGGGTTAATTTACTTATTTTAATTTCTAATTCCTCCAAAGCAAGCATTTCAGCTGAGAAATGTTCAAATAGATTTGTTATATCATTTTAAATAAAATAAAAAGTGCTTTCAAAACCGTAGGCGTTTCACATTAGACAGTAAATGTAATGGAGTCAATCAGAATAGGGAAGAGAATTCATTTTTCTTACCTGAATGACTTTGAAAGGGAACTTTCGCGATAGATCACCCAGGAGTATGTCTACTCGTTTCCTCTGGAAGGCGGAGCTTAGTTCCTCCTTAGGTTTCTTCCTCTTCTTCTTCTCTGTTGTCAAGGAGATCAAGAATGCATCATCAATACAGAGAGATGTAACTTAGATTCAGTACTGTGTGCTACATGTATAGTTGCAGTCTGTTATATCATACTTTTATGTGATTTAATAACCATCAATTTCCTCCACATTGACCAGGGAATCGAGGACTGAGCTTCTGAATGCATTTTGATAATTTGCCTTAAATGCCACGTAAGATTAGTTGATATTAAATAATTCATAAAAAATGCTGTATTAATACTAACACATTTAGCAGTAATAAGAGTTGTTCTGAAATTCTTAAAATCAACAAATCAATGAAATATCTTAGATGGATAACTCAAATCTAAACTTTTGTCTTGAGACCAAATTCAGTTTTGCTTGAAAAGACAAGAAATCAGTTGTAATATTATGAAATACATAATTATCCAAGGAACAAAGGTGCCTACCTAGAGGGGACCTCTGATGATTTCACTGCACAGGTTGATAACAAATAATGATACACATGTACTAATAATATATCATCTACAAAAAAAAAAAAATCAATGTCCATACTTTATGACTCTTACTCTGAGAAGCCAATATTCAACACTCTTCAGTAACTTCTTAAACCTTATCATTTACTTCTTCATGTAGATATACAGGTGTATTAAAATATGAAATGTAGTGTTTGGCTTCATGCTGCATTTCAAGTGATAGGCAAGCAGACTGGTTGTTACCTGTTTCACTATCTTTCTCCTTAAACTCCCACCAATATCCTTTACTGGGATGGTATCTTGAGTAAGACAGGGACTCTTCAAATGCTGACCGGATATTATGAACCGCTGTTGTCTGTAAACATGAAAAGAAAGCAGCAAAGTGAAAAACAGAGGCTAGTTCTAAGGAGAATATATCTTATCATAACCGTTTGCTAAGAGAGTTATTGAGGAAAATTAAATGCAGCATTGAGTATGAATGATTAATTGAATTGAATTGAATTGAAATTTATTGTCCCTTTCAGAAAATTCTTTTTTCACTGATTTTACAGTTATTGTACATATATACATAATACAAGAAGAAATACATAATACAATAATATCAAATGTACATTGTCACAAACATAATAACATTCTGAAAATGCTTGTTGCATTGGGAACGGATCAAAATATACATTGATTGCAGTATAAACATAAATATAAACTGCATCTATGTTACCACTTCAGGTGAAAAGACAGAGGTGATATACCATTATCTTCATCCATAATGGAGTTTAAACCCTCAATGTACATGTATATCCACTGAATATATAATAGTATATATCATTTTGAACTTTATATTAAATCTCAGGTAATCCTTCACAAATATTTTACTAAAGTAATCTTGACAATGTTACATGTAAAGTACAAGAAAACATTGACAAGAAATTCCATTATCTAACCATTCTTGCATTGATGACTGCACAGATATCAGGAGCCTGGTAAACTCTGCCAGCGACGATGTAATAATCAGCCAATGGGGTGGACTCTTCCAGAGAATGGCGATGCTGTTTTCTAACGACATACAGGATTGGCTCTTGCACATGCAGCAGTATATACTCTAACCCTGTCATTGATCTATGGATTGAAGGAAGATAATAAGAAATGTGGGAAAATTGTAAATACTTAGGGTAGTTGTATTTTGTTCTTCTTGTAAAGAAATCCTTCCTTCTTTTGATTCTGTTCTCCTCTCCATTTCTTGCTTAGATTCCTCTCCTTTCTCTTTTCTAATCGATTCTTGATACATTGCATTTCTCGTTCTTTTACCTTAAACTTATTATTATCCTTATAATTGAAAAATCAACACTTATTTTCAATTACCAAACACTGATCATTTTCTAAAAAGTTGACATATTTTTTAAAAACAAAATTCAACTACTTTACAACCATGTCAATTATTGAAGAATACCTTTAATACCTTTAATAAGTATTTCAAACAAAACTTTTACTTTCACTTTCAATTCAATTCAATTTTATTTTGCAATATAAAAATCAAAATATACAAAGTAACAGCAAATTTGAACTATGTTTACAAAGGTTATATGCGGGGCTGTCCATGAAGGTTGCGAAAACCTGTGAAGTTGGATCGCCCAACTTTAGCATACAATAAACAGAATTTAGGAACACAACTTACTTGAGTTGTTCTGGGCTCAAACGCTGCATCTTAATGATCTCATTGTTACATGTACGATCATAGAAAGGGTTGCTTCTATTGGAGAAGTAATCCATGATGTTGGCTTGATTGAGATGAGGTATCCATGCAGAGTCGTGCCATGATATGTGCAGTGAATTATCTGAAATTGCAGGAAAATAAATATTGGGAAAGAATTTAGACACAAGAAAAAATTGCCCTAAGACACTGAATTAAATAACTTTTTGCCTTTGAAAAAAAATATGAAGGTAATGCCACTTAACAATGCCCCCCCCCCCCCCCCCCCCCCCCCCATCATACTCCAACAAAACAAGACATCACTCAATAAAAGCAATATTCACTTTGGGGGAATATATTATTTAATGAGGACATGAGACTATTTTACCCCACCCCAGGGAGATGTGAGTTGGCCTAGCGGCATGTTAACTTGGTCAGCTCTCTGTCTTTGCCTACAAACTGGCTCAGGTGGATCATGGTCCGAAATAGAGTCACGTCTTTTGGATAGTGACATCAAAGGTCAGTCCCTCACACAAACGTCTGTTAAATCCTAATTACAAACACACACACAGATCAGAGTGCAAGTAACTATTGTTACTTTGACGCAAACAGCCCTCATATTAATTATCACACTTTGAAAGTACCATAATGCATCAACTAGGCAAGTGCAACCGCTTGCTATAGAGTCTTGATTTAAGAAAATTAGGTTTTACATAGCAGTATCGCGCACAGCAACAAAAAAGATCAGACGACTGTGGCTGTGCAAAAGGATTCCTGCCACACATAGGTGCATTACTATCCTGGCTGTGTATTTTAAAAGCTGTGCTATTGATTCTTAACATTTCAAACACCACTGTACAAATTACTACTCAAAATTGGTACTTTAGTGACGATTGATGACACCTCCTAAATAGCAGTAAAATACAATTTTGTAAACTTTCCGATGTTAGAAAGAATGATTTAAAAATTCTAATTGTGAGTCCACTGTCAAACTTGCCGATCAGCCACATCGGCATGATTGTGTACATCTGTGTGTTACGAGTGTGTTGACTATTCATGTATTCAAATGCTGCCTATTACACACAGTGCAGTGCTAAAGGTCAATACGCATTAGTATTGACTCTCTATGCTTTGCTGGAGTGACCTACATCATGCATGTGAATCAAGACTCGATAGTCTCTTGACATAACTCGAGCTCGACATCAATGTCCAGATCGCTAGCGCTCAATATAGATCTAGATCTAGGTCTATCCCACTATCTATGCACATCTGCCGAAGTAAATGGGCAGCCATGAAATGACTCTTTGCCTTTGAAAATAAAATGTGTAGCTTATGCCACTTGATTATGTTTCACAGTTTCACACCCCCCCCCCCCCCCCCCCCCCACCTTCCATAATCTTTTTCCAACATAATATTAACAAGACATCAATTTCAACACACGGGACTACAATTTATACAATAACACAAGGTAAATTGGATTTGTAAGTGAAAAAAAATATAGATCTTTATTAAGATTAAGACATGAATTCATAAACTAACTACTCTTCGCTCAATAAGTTGTGACAAATATTAATAAACAGAAATTTACCGTCGGTCGACATTTTGCCGCAAAAATGAACAATTCAGTCGCAGAGTCGGGCTAGCAACACCTTTTCAGTCTCTAGAGGGCGCGAACTGTACTACATACATAGATAGAGATATTATACAAATATACACTGCCTTGAGAGGTTTTGATTTGATTTGATTTGATTCGGTTTATTGAAATAAAAGAACAAGCAGCTGGGGAGCTGAAATAATTCAATTTACAAAGTCAATATACAACACCACAAACGAACAAAATATAAATGACTAAAACGTACGACTATAAATTATGCAAAATGAGAATCAAATATTACATCAAAATCTAAATATATTACAAACATTAAATCAAAATCTAAATATATTAGGAATATTACATCGAAATCGAGATATATTACAAATATTACGTTAAAATTCAAATATATTACAAATATTAAAAACATTAAAAACCTTAAAAACCTTCTGTGTCATCAAAAAAAAAAAAAAAGGGGGGGGGGGGAGAGAGAGAGAAAGAGAAAGAGAAAGACGGAACTAGAAATGTATTGTGTGAAGAAAGAAGATAGAGGGAAAAGGTGATAATAGCTGAGGAAAGGGGTAAGAAAAGAGAAAGAAAAAGAAAAAGATGAGGACCCATGAGAAGAGGAAGGAGAAGGGGTTTCACACAAAGCATGAGTAACATGATAAAGCACGTAATGTAACAACCTAAAAGTACAAGGATAATATTATCAAAAAGATATTGCACGAGGTAAAGTAATATGAGTATATTACATTGAAGAACAATAAAATCAAAGTTATTAGAGGAAAGGTGCAATATGTCAACAACGTGTTAAAGAGAATAATTATACAGGTAAATAATTGAGAATACACCATAAGGCAATACACTTGCATGTAAACGGATAGTGATACACAGTAAAACTATTTTCTTATAAGGGGGGAAGAAAGAAGAAAGAAAGAAAGACAAAAAAAGGAAAAAAGAAAGTTGTGATGACCCCACATTCAAGGAATAGAGAAATCATGCATCTTATAAACGATAGAGAGGAAACAGATACGAATAGAAGAAGAGAGGGGAAGAGGGAAGACAAGAAAAAAGGGAGTATAGAAAAGTAAAAAAATAAGATCAAAGAACAGGGAATATCCATGATAAATAGATTTGCAAATTAAAGTGAACTGCATTATAGATAATTATTGAAGATCATTGCATTTTTACCTGTAATCTCAACAAAGTACCCAGCTATAAACAGTGAGAGAGATAAATAGATAAATAAATAGTTGATATAGCTGCATTACAATGACGAATTCAAAACTAATGGCATTCAAGGAAAAGAAAAGTCATGCATCTTATAAACAACAAAGAGGAAACAGATACGAATAGAAGAGAGGGGGAGAGGGAAGACAAGAATAGAGGTAGTAAAGATAGTGTAGAATAAGATCAAAGAACAGGGAATATCCATGATAGATAGGTTTGCATATTAAAAAAAAAAAAAATTAACTGCATTATAGATGATCATTGAAGATCATTGCATATTACGTTATTAGGTTCTGGTTAAAACTATGCGCAAGAGGTGACTCCAATAGTGAGTCCGAAGCAAATGGTACTTTTGGAGTCACCGAGGCAAATAGTTTAACCAGTACCTCGAAATAGAAGGCATGGTATATTTGTTTTATATCCTGCATCATAAATTTATTATTAAAAAAAAAAAAAAAAAAAAAAAAAATCTAGAACAAAGAAAATGTCAATTTTTATCTAAAAAGATTTAAAATATTTTGTTTTCATTAAATCAAGATTTGAAAAAAAAAATTGATTCAATTAATTTTTTTTTTTTTTTTTTTTCATTTCCCAAATAGTAAACCAAAATAGTACTCTCATATAGTACTTTCTAAAAATAGGTCAAATATTTCTGGTCATGTGACGAGCTCTTAACCAATCAAAAGCCAACAAATTTTTGATGCAGGATATCCTGCATCAAAAATTTGTTGGCTTTTGATTGGTTAAGAGCTCGTCACATGACCAGAAATATTTGACCTATTTTTAGAAAGTACTATATGAGAGTACTATTTTGGTTTACTATTTGGGAGTTGAAGAAAAAAATGTGAACTTTTTTTTTTTAATTGAATCAATTTTTTTTTCAAATCTTAATTTAATGAAAACAAAATATTTTAAATCTTTTTAGATAAAAATTGACATTTTTTTTGTTCTAAATTTTTTTTTCCCAATTTTTTTTTTTTTTTTTTAATTTTTGATGCAGGATATAAAACAAAATATATACCATGGGCTATGGGCCTCGGTGACTCCAAAAGTATCGCCCCTCAGCAAATATTACTATTGGAGTCACCTCTTGCTCATAGTTTTAACCAGAACCTCTCAAGGCAGTGTATATTTGTATACTAAGTATATATCTCTACGACTACATACTACCAAACTATTCAAGAGATTCGTCATACATGTACTTGTTGACGTTTGCAAATGACCCTTCACAAAACTATACGGGTAATAACTTACGCGGTTTAGCCATTTTAACATCTTATTTGATTATATTACGATAAACTATCTTGCCATGTAACGATGATTCATATGGTCAAATTCCAACTAAGACAAAGGAAGCTTTTTATAGACAACTGTAGGTTGCTTGTGAATTACTGCAGTCATAGCATGACTTGTGATTTTGAAATTCAAAGCCAATCAAAATGCTATTTTTGTTTTGAATATACTGCTGACCTATGAAATTGTCAAATTATTCGTTATATTTTAGACCTTTTAGATTATCGACTTTTAATTGCTAGTTTTTAATTAAAAAGGGTTGGGGAAAAGTATGTTAATCACATACCTTGTCAAGGTTTGCTTATGATTGCGGTCTCCTGCACTTTTCCAATAGAAAAGTTCGGATAATACTTTAAATTTATGATTATATGTTATGGAAATATTAATTTTCGTTATTATATGTACATATATTATGTAAAAAAACATTTTGACATGAAGAAATTATTGTTTGTTTATGTTGTATTATACCTTTCATTTATATGTTCTTTGTTATTCAGTTATATTTTATATGGAAAAAATGCAGAAATAAAATAAAATCAAAAATCAAAAACATACTTTTTTCCTGCCCTTTTTTGATTAAAAAGTATTTAAAAGTATATCTGTCTAATGTTGAACATGCTTGTGATTATAATAATGAGATTTGGCCTTCCCTTACTTGTGTATCAAAAATAAGAAAAAATCAATGAGACAACATATACTCGGACCAATTTCACACATACAGGCGAATCCACAAAAGAGAAGGCGGTCAGCAACGGCCTTCCTATGTATTGTGTGATTAATCTATGAGGACGCTGTATCAATTGCACCTTGGTTGCTGACCCCGCCCTCCCCTTTTTTCCTTCCGAAAAAATAGAAGGATAATATAGAGCTAGAGGGAGAGAGACTCAAAAAGAAAAGAAGAAAGCTCAGCTATACATGTATATTCAGGTATTAGGCAAAATTAAAGGTTTTGTTAGGACATGTACCTATTTTCTTCTGGTGCAATGGGACAACCTCATATAGAAAAAAAAATTGATTGGTTGGATCAAATATAGTACGTACGGGCAATATCATATTTTCATGTCTTTCAATCGAAGATGCTCTTAATTTGGCTTTAAACCCCAAAACCTCGATGAGTGTAAAGGTTTTTTTTATTCTGCAAATCATTCATGGTGCTTGCATGACCTCAGGACGGCATTCTGACTAATTACGGTGAATGGTTCTATCAGACTAATTGTTTTATGAATATCAACTTGATAGTCATAGAAACATGCACCGTAATTAGTCAGCATCCAGCTCTGATGTCATGCGTGACGTTTTTTTTCATGCATTAACTACTTCCGCTTTCCGTGTCCTTAAGCATAATATACAATATAGGTCATCTATTCAGGTTACTAGGGTAGGTATTAAAATACAGTCATGTGCAGATCGAGGATAATTTCATAGGTTGGGGGGGGGGGGGTGGGGACAGGGGCAAATATAGGATTTTCCAAGGGGGGGGGTGAAATGTACGAAATTGCGAGCGCGAAGCTTTTACGGCGAGGGGGCCCGGGGCCCGATTAAGTGAACCATTTGATGCTTTATGGTCAGAGGCATTACTGAATGCGTAAATTGAATATTTATGTGAATATATACGCTCGCTCGTATTAATATAATTGATGTAATTATGTAACGTATTGAGGTCTTTTCAATCTTCATGACGACATTTTGGACCATGGAAAATTAGAAACAAATACTGAAATCATCTCCTCATTTATGAATAATGTATTAATCATAATGAAGTGGTATACGTCCAAACATAGCAAACATTTTTGATTTGAGGTTTCCCTTTTTCTCTCCCCCCCCCCCGATACTGTCATAATGTTAGGTGATTTTTAGTGATCCTCTCTTTAAAGGGATGGATATGAACCTCAAACATACCTCGTTTGAAATTCCATCAAGTAGTCGGTAACAATCATAAATAGGAAACTCCTTTTTACCGCCCACCCAAGCGGACCAAGTGACGTCATCATTTTTGAAGGTTAATGTATCATTCATAAAACCGAAAGGACATTCTAATGATCACATGAAAAAACACGAGAAAAAGTGTCACACTGTTTTTCTTTCTGAGCCCAAGTTTTTACAAAGTCGTGTGATATTCTTTATTGCGTGGGAATAGTAGAGGGTGGAAGCAGGCGCGTACGCAGGATTTTTTCAAGGGGGGGGGGGGGGTTTAACATTTATAAATCGGTCCGAAAATTTCGCAACGACTCAGCCAGCCGCTGAATAAGCGGGGGGGGGGGGGGGGGGGGGGGGGGTAAGAGGTCACTTTTTTGGGGGGGGGGGTCTCGAAATTTGGAAATTTGACATTTTGCTCAGTTGGGGGGGGGGGGTAAGGTCACCTTTTTTATGTCGGCCGTGGGCATAATTTTTTTTTTTTTTTTTTTTTTTTTTTAGATCAAAAGGGGGGGGGTTTTAGTTTTTTTTTAGGGGGGTTTACATACATAAAATTACCAAAGGGGGGGGGGGTTAACCCCCCAAACCCTCCCCTCTGCGTACGCGCCTGGGTGGAAGGACCTATTACTGTTTCCACATTCGATAAAGACAGAAACTAATCGAATTGCCATTAACATCGTGGGATCGCCCGTAGGGCGGCGGAGTGTCTTTCAAAGTAGGGGTGCACCCCCCCCCAAAAAAAAGGGCATTTATGGGGAAAAGTGGGGCACCTACAAAAGGAAACCTCAAGCAAAAATATACAATTTTTAGACATTGGCATATACCCCAACATTGTGATAACATTATCAGGGATGATTTCAATGCTTGTTTCTCTCTTTACATGGTCCAAGATACTGCTTAACCATCATACTTTGCAGTTTGGTGTGATGGTCTGAATATTTATTTATTTAATGAGAAACATAATTCGTCGCTGTTTTCACGAAGTGACGGTAGTGAACAAAAATTGCATTCACTTTGCGTTACGATTTTCCTCACTACCGTCACTTCGTGAAAACAAGGACGAATTGTATCGACTTTGATTGTGAGCAAGCATAGCGAATGAGATTTGGGTGAAAAAAATGCTCTTAGACGCTTTAAATTAGGAGCACATTTTATGGTGAAAGGAAAAGGGGGTACATATCCAAAGTTAAAAGGATACTTATCAGAAAAGAAAAAGAGCACATGTCAAAGTAAAAAGGGGGAAATACCAGAGGTGAAAGTGGGGCACTTCTCGCACCTAATAAGGGCACTCACCAGCGATGAAAAAGGCACTTGTCAAAATATAAAGGACACCTCTCAGATCTAAAAAGAGGCAATATTATAAGAGGTGAGGGGCGCTTATCAAAGATAGTAAGAGGCACTATACTTGTACCTAAAAAGGGGCACTCACCTGAGATGAAGAGGGGCACTGCAGAGGTGTCAAAAGAGGCATTTATGAAAAGGGTAAGTGGGTCTACTATTAAAAAGGGGGCAGTTATCAGAAGGAAAAAGGGAACTTATTGGATAGAAAAGGAAGCACTTATCAAAGGTAAGAAGTGGCACTCATCAAAGATGAAAAAAAGCCATCATAAGAAGGGGAAGTGGCACTTATTACAAAAGAAGAGGGCACTTGTTAAAGTAAAAACGGGCACCTCACATATTTGAATAGGGGCAATTAAAAAGGTGAAGGGGGCGCTTATCATAGGCGGTAAGAGGCATTTAGAGGAATGTGGAAAGGGCACCTACTAGAAATGAAAAAGGTCACTTACCTGAAGTAAATTTTACGTAGATTTCACACATTATTAAATAAGTCACTAACCGATGACTAAAAAGTTCATGAATTAAATGAGACATTTAATACTGCGCATTGGGCTGGATGCGTTATGCCTGCCCGCACAATGAGCTGTTCATCGACATATTTTGCTATATACGTCACGATCAATGCCAAGTCAATACTTGAATGAAAAGCATTTCTATTCACACAAGTTTTCATATTCATGAACAAAAATAAAGCAAATATAGAATTTTATGTCAGCTCTAAATATACTTCCGTTTTCATTGATGGCTATCCTAATCAAAATAATGATTGATCGAGATTGAACATGTTACCCCGCATTCGGCAATGCTCAGGTCAACGGCAGTTTGTAGCTTCTTTTTTTGTGACGTGTGAGTTAGATAATATGGCATAAGGGTAATTTATCAAATTATCAAAGATCCTCGTCACCAATGTTCGGACATTCGTAAAATCAGGGGTCAACAATTTAAATCATAGCACCCTCGGCGGGTATGCTTGGTGCCCCGGCTAAAATGGCCAAACACAATCGGCCATCACCCCAGTGGTGTCCGACTGGTCCAACTTGTGTGATAATTCTAACATTATTCAAACTATAGTCATTCTAGATTCGATGAGTTGACTTCGTAGTATCAACATTCTTACTAGAACTCAAAGTCACCTTTATACACACCCCTTGAAAAGGATCAAGTTAATCCTGTTCCCCGTTCTAACAATAAACAATAAAGGGAAAAAGAGGAATTAGTATATCAATGTTGTTCCTCGTCTAAAATCAAGACACGATGACTTTACTATACTCCCACTGTTTTTTTCTTTCTTTACATTACTTCCTTTTTGAGATTGAACAATAAACCATGAAGACGCAAAATATTTATTAGGCTACTGAACTCAGGGAAGAAGTTGGACGTTGAACGAGGCAATCTCACAAAAGCGGAATGCAATAAATAAAAGAGAACCAGTTCAAATTACTACCACAACAATGATAAAGGAATAAATTGTGACCTGCTCTCGTAGCAAAACGTGTGTGATTGTAAGCAAAGGAATCTCATGGCAGGGAAGTGATAGAAGCTTAATCTTAAGACTAAAATACTTGTCACTACCGCATTATACCATTGAAATAAGCTCATAATCTCTAAAAAGTAATATTATAACAATGGCTTAGAATCTTTTGACGAAACACGGAAAATGACAGGCGTATAATCATTGGTAATGTAAATGGAGAGATATCTCTCACGCAGATGTTTTTGGAGTGAGATTGATTCAGCATAGAAAATTGCTTTGACGAATTTGCTAGCATTTTCGTAATATTGAGGGGCCTAAACAAAATAAACCGACAAACTATTTATTATTTGAGAGGTTGGTCATAGCCTCATATCGGTAATTGTTTAAACATTTTGCCTTTCAAGTGATATTTTACTTTCTTGTCATAGGCCTTTGTCAAAGTCGCGTTATTAACGTTGAAATAACTTTTACTCACAGTATGGAAAGAGTGAGAGACAGTTCTTTAATTGCTGACTGTATACCATGCCCTACGATAAAAAAAAGACTCTTTTAATCTAGCCCAAATACGAAACTGTCCAGGTCCTCGAGAGCCTATAAAAAGCCGGGCCTTCCTACCAGGCCCTAATAGTTATGTTGGATCCTTTACAGCTACTTACATCAGATAAGCCAATGAGAACAGGGTTGACGCACTAAAACGGGAGCCGTCAGAAAATTAGTACCCCCAAAGTCGGGTTGAATTCATCTTATATCTAGCGCCCGTTTAAAGTAGTACATGAACGTCTGCACGTGCAAAACACAGGCAACTCTCAGAAATATCCGTCGGGATGTGGTTATCAAACGCCCAAGAAAAGATGGGTTAAGTTTTTCCTTCAATCAAAGTGGTTGCTGTTTAATAGCACTGATTTGCATTCATGCCTATAGTACGGAGCAAGCTCACTATAAATAGAACCATGGGGGTAAAAGGTTCGTACCGTGCGCATAAGTGGATACGGGGATTTCCCTAAATCGCGTCATAGACTATATTGGTGCATTGCGAGGATATAAAGTGTCGATCAATGACTACCGAAAACAGTTCACAAGCGACTGCTGTCAGAAGAAAGATACTGAAACATTACAACTCGCTTTATATTTCCAGCAGAAAAACTTCGCATATGATGACGTCTTCAATTATCAACAGTATTTCAGTGATAGTCATTATCGCTGCATCATGTCGTAAGTTGTCTGTTTCATTTTTAAGAAATCTTATATTGACCATAATATGCTCATTAATGATAGCCAATGTATTGAAATGTTAATTACATAATATTGATTATGGGAATAAGCCTCTATCTGGGCTTGCTTCTTGGAATGGTTAATTTAACTCATGGAATGGACCTGCTTTATCATGATTCTAAAACCAAAATATATTTACTCTCCTATTATTCATGAGTCTACCCATAATAATAATAATAATATTTAATTTTTATATAGCGCTTAATACAAATGTCTCTAAGCGCTTTACAAATATACTATAGAATATTTTTCTTCTCCATTTTCTTTGCATTTAAGATAATCACAGTTGCTATACTGACTTGCACAACCTGTGTTTAAATCTAACTCATGCAATTAATTTGAAAGTGTGCGTTCAGACATGTTAAATTACTTTAAACAAGAATTGACAAGTATCATTTAGCCAAAACATGTTCTTTCAAAATTATTGTGTATTGCTCAATATTTTGAAATACCTCATGGCAACTGGTAGGCAGGTAAGATATTTCGCAATGAACGATAAAACGATAGGGGAGGGGGAAAGAGAAAGATTGAGAGAGAGAGAGAGAGAGAGAGAGTAGTCAGGCAATGTCAATAATGTATGACGCATATTGTTATTTTCATATCGTTGACTCTATCAATATTTTACGCGTTGAGAATAATTATGACATAAATACATGCGCAGTAATCAAGTTTTTCTCTTCTTCATTTTTGTCTTTCGATATACATAGTGGCTCAGCATTAATACGTATAAACCATGTAATTTATTATTCTTAAATATATTTTATTGTTATTGACAAATACAAAGATATAAATATCCACCTATACATGCCCATCTATGTGCATGTGTACGGTTGATACGAACTGTTCAAAGTGTCAATCACGGATATTTTGAATCACTCTCAATTCTCCGATGAAATTTACCTTTCATAAAGCTTGAATATCAAGAAAACAAATAGTTGTGCGAATTTGAGAAAATTGTAAAATTTGATGATATATATTGCATGTGATTTTACGTTCATTAGCATACAAATTCGGTTCGATGTTATGTGACATCGATTTTTTATTGTAAAAAATTTCCATGCTGCGATAAAATTAAAATTAGTTCTCATCTTTATGAACACACAAGCACAGTATGAACTGATGACAGGGGAAAAAAATGAAATCATGCTATCCAAGGATTCATATTTAGTACACTATTTTACAAAATATCAGTCATCAAGCATTCCTTTTAACAGAATATTCTTGTTTCAATTTTACTTGAGCACAATCACTCAATATCGGATTCCAAACATTTGATCTACCGAAACTGTAACCAATGGTTTCGTTTCACAAGCTAGTTCTTTACAGACACGACAGGACGAAATGAAAAGTGAAATGGAAACAAACAAAGTTATGTACATGTGTAACGCCAACACATATCTTCCATTTACATTAGCACGTAACCTTTAAAGATGAAATGAAGAGAAATCTTCCAATTTTTGCATGAGAGGCTTTTATATTTTCGTTTCGATTCTGTTTTTTCCTTTGTATCTGGTACTCAACACTGTACATTGAAATACATGTCGTTTGAAATCACGAAAAAGAAAATATTTGAATAAGCGTTTCATTTTCAGTTGCCTATTTTCTCTTCAAGATTTAAAGCCGAATTGTACTAAACATATTCGAGTCATAGAAAGAATACGATCGGCAATGACAAACAAAAATCCCCACCAGTTTTGTACCTTGCATTTTGTATTCGCGTATTTTCCCCAAAGCAATGAACCGTACAATGTCTATTGAATCCGAACCTACGTCAGTCTTTTATTGTAATGAAACAAAACAAATGACGTCACGCGTTGAGGGTAGGTACCACCCTCCACTCTCATTGTGTAATCTTCATTGACAGCCATTTATCAAAATTGATTTAATTGTGTTTTGTGATGAGGAGTAAAGACCATTCAATTTTGATGCTCAAGGGCTTAATATAGGCTTTAGAAAATTTCCGTCATCATGTCGTGGAGAGAGGAAAAAATATGGATTTTTTTAGGTTGACTGGAAATTTTGTACAACATCTGTAGTTTGTAAAATATGTGTTAAACAAACATTTGCCGTCATGGTTCGATAACGCGTTAAGAGAGATGGAAATTACAAGTAAAATAGTCAGGCCAAATATATCATCAGGTAAATCATGGGGCTTTCCACCACCGGAAATCATTTTTTTTTAAATAGCTGTATTCATCGTTCATGCTCTTAAGAAAAAATAAAGACCATTACAGTTTTATTCACTGATTGATGCTGCCGACTATATCTGTCTACTGAAAAGAAAGAACAAACAGATATTGTACAAGTAAACGGGGGTATTACGTGATTTTCCCTGCCTTGAGAAACAAACCTGTAATTTAGCCTGTTCTCTACAAATGAATAAATATTGTTTATATATACCCTGAACAAAAAACGGGCTTGTCCGGACTTCTTTTCGAGGGTTCGCATTTTTCATGTTCAGTTTCTTCATATATCATATCATTTTTTTTAATCACATCAAATCCATGTGGACATATGCCTACAGTAAAAACTGTGGATAGGGGAAAACCATTAAAACATGAAATCAAATGTAAAATTACCCTACAAGGGCGGGGGTACAAGAGTCATTGTATGACAGAGAAAATAATACGGTTCACACACGTTTTGTTTACTTTTTTGTTATAGTAAACCAGCTGAAGTTCTATATTTGTACTGACGTGTTCAAAGGTTGTTTGCAGATTGTATTGTTCAAATGTTTTCTATAGCATTGGGTTTTTACCTTATTTGGTGATCACAGTTCCCTACGATATGCTGCTTCTATTTTTAGAGAAGAAAAGAAAAAGGGGAACATCGAAGCTGAGATGTCGGAATACCCCCACGTGCTGATTTATTAAATAAATTGTTTGACTCTGCAGCTTGTTTGTTGTAACCCTCACAGATTAGGGGAAATACAGGGGTATCATAATCATTTCCCACCGTCCCTCAAAAATTAAGTTGCAAATTACCTCTCGAAGCCTTTTTTCAATTTCTAAAAGGACGTCAATTCGTCAAGGTAAATGTATTTGAAGAATCAACAACATTTTAACAATAATAAAAATAACGAGTTGAAAAGGTCGTTATGAAAAAAGAACGTTCTTTTGTACATCAATATAATGCAGAGAAGACGGTGTTATGTAACACGTTGCACGCTATTGAATGATATCCAAATTTCACTTTCTTCTTCAGTGACACAGAATGCAGAGGCCCGAAGTGGGGTATGTCCAAACCCAGCAACAGGTGAAAATACACGCTACAATGTTGCTACAGAGGTGTGCTGTGGTGGAAACATCTACGACGTAGAAAGGGGTGATCGTCCTCTCTGCTGTAAGTACAGAAATGATGATGTTGATTGTGGTGATGATGATGATGATTGTAATGATGATTGTAATGATGGTTGTGGTATAGTAGTTGTGATAATTATGACGATGATGGTGGCGGTGGCGGTGGTGGTAACGGTGACTGTGGTGGTGCTTATCGTAGACCTGATAATGGTAATGTGTGGTGATGCTTACAACGTACCGGATGTGATGATGGTGATGTGAATATTATTATCATGGAATGACGATGCTGATGAAAAGGTATTAAGGTATAATAAGAGACAAATCTTCATATGACTGTTATACGAGCAACATTAGAATGCTTCTGATGAAGACGGTCTGATGGGGAATGAATAGTCTCTGATTATGATGTTAGTTTTAGAAGATGTTAACAATTGAGCTTGAGAGTGAAAATGGTAAGTGCTGACTTGAGACAAAATTCAGAGTGGCATCTAATGATGATGGTAATTTTTTTTTATTACAGGTGGTGATGGAATCTACAATCCAAAAGATGAGATTTGTTGTGGCGGAGAGGTGAAGAGTCGATCAGAGGGCGAGCGATGCTGTGGGTTTACTCAGTGGTACAACGCTGATACGTCTATATGCTGTGGCCATCACGTCCATCTCAGCAAAAATGGTATGGTATAAAATATTTCCAACGACAACAATAACAAGTTACAATTAACACACTTTACTGGTTTCACAAATGGGTGTTTTACTTTAAAATACATGCTTGTAGCAAAATTGCATTAAGTGGAGAAGAAAAAATCAATGGTTCAACCTATCATGATGTATGTAAGAGACTTCCATCTCATATAAAGGAAGCATCCACATGTTATAAGTGTAAAACTTTCCATAAAACATACCTGTTTAAAAAGCAGTTTGACTGATATGTTACAGTCGGGCATTTACACTATTTATTATTTTGGCCAAATATCTGAATTGATTATTTTTCTTCCGTACCAGGTCGCTTTGAATGCTGCGGGTCAGCAAAATACAACACAGCTGAAGATACATGTTGTCCAGTAGAGGAAGAAGGAGATATTACCATGACAACCCTTCCTGGAGTTGGTCAGTGCTGTGGAAACAGGGTCATTGACCCCAGACGTGAAATCTGTTGTAATGGGGTAAGGATTGAAACATTATTTTACTAACCATTCAATTCATTGTCAGGAGTAACACTGTCTTTGGAAATGTAATATCATTATGAAAAATATTATAATTATTTATTATTATTTTATCACCTGTTTATCCCTCAACAATTATTATTATTAGGCATTTAGCTATGCTATTCATAGTACACTATATCACAGCGCTTACAATAATATGCAATATAACCACAAATCTTAACATAACATTGAACAAACAAAAATAATAACGAATCAAGTAGGAAATAAGTAGGTTTTAAGGAGTCTAAGGAGTACATACATATATAGTTATAACTAAGTGTCACTTTTCCTAAAGTTTTTAGAATTGTTTCTGTGTCACTAACTTGTTTATTAATGTACACAACAATTAATGTGATGATAATATGATACACTCTATTTCTAGATGGCACATGAGAAGACGGATTCACTGACGCAATGTTGCGGCAATTCGACATACAATAAAATGACTGAGATGTGTTGCGACAACCAATCCCCTTACACCCCTCACTCACAACTCTGCTGCGATGGCCATGTACACTCCTCAGGTAGGCATTATCATTCTCTCAGGCAACAGCCATTGTTTGGAGTGTTTGATTTGATTTTTAAAATGTGAGGGATGTATGATATCTTCACTTTGTAACTGGTTATCTATTAGAAGCTCAGCATCATTGATACTGCCATTCGTCACACAACGTTTAAGATGAAAGGGAAAGGCAAAAAGGGGGGATTTAAAGATAGAATGTGCATGTGTTGACCATTTTTCATCAACGAACAGAAAAACAAATAATGAACATGGACTACAGATGTAACATCGTCATCATCAATTACGAGTAGTTTTTCATTCTCTCTTCAACTTTTCTTCTCAAACAGATAACGGAGCCCAGTGTTGTGGATCTGAATCGTATCTAGCTTCTCAGTCATCTTGCTGTCATAATAACTTATTCCGGGGAATCCCCGAGTTGCCTAATGTACAAGCATGCTGCGGAGAAGTGTCCTTCTTCAAAACCAATCACATTTGTTGCCAGAGTACGCTTTACGAGAGAGGAGAAAACGTAGGATGCTGTGGACAAGGTAAGAGAAAGACTTATTAATTTCCCTTGTTTCAAAATTATCTTGCCCCTGAAAGTATCTTGTTTAAGTCTCTAAGGTATTTGACTTGACAAATATGTATGGAATGAATTTTTATGAATACAACTACAGTTTTTTCTGACAACGGAAGGACTATTTTTGTTATGCCTGCAAGATAACGTTTTTGATGTTCCTATTATCTTTTGATAAAAATTAATCATCTAAAGGATGACAGTCAACAATTATTGAAATGATAATTATGGCATTTCCCTTATAAATAATCTTATACAGACACGTACGATTCTTCTACTGAATTATGCTGCGGCTTTGCCGACGAATCGACCTCCATATTTGAGAAGTCTTCCCCGTCGGAGGAGTGCTGTGGCCTGTCAACCTACGATCCGACAAGCCAAACGTGTTGTGAGATGGCCAGCCGAAGCTTTGATGACATTGTTGGTGGGGAATGTTGTGGTACTGATCCGGATCATGTGCAGGCTTTTGATCCATCTCAAGCAACCTGTTGTCGGGGACTGCAAGGAGGTAAGGAGAATAATGTCTCTGGGGCGCGTTTCACAAAATTTGTCATCAGTGACAAATAACAGTTTTTGTTATAAGCTACTGAAATCCTTGCTTCTGATTGGTTATCAGCATATTTGTCACTGATTTTTGTCATTTGTCATCGAATAAAGGCTTTGTGAAATAAAGGTTTAAGAAATGATTGACTTCGTTGTAAAGGGTTTATACTTATTGGTATATGCCTACAAGATAGTTAGAAAAGAACAGCACTGAAATGTCTAAACTGAAAGGTTTATAGAGGGAAAGAAAGGACGCAATGCCTCCAAAACCTAAACATAAAAATGAGGAAGTAACAAATAGAAGAGAGAATTAGACTGGGGAAGCAAGTAGTATTCAGAATTCACGATTCAAAGTTTAGTTATTTTCCACATGTTTTCTTTTCGTCAACCTGTCAACACTTTTGTTCACTCATAAACTAATCAGATATCAATATCTTATTCTTAACCACAGAGTTTCTGCATCATGTACCGACTGGTGAAGCTCAATGTTGTGACTCTAGCATTTTGTCACCGATCGAACTCTGTGATCCTGTTGGCAAATACCCTGTTGTAAAGACTGTTGAGACTGACGATGCGATCTGTTTTGATGTAACATACAACACTGCAACTCAGGTAACGTACACAACTACATATTAATCTGTCAAACAACAAACTGTCAAGCGTTTTTTTTCTTCAAACATACTTTCGCATTTATATGCATATACAATACCCAGAATCAAGGTCCACTTTGGTGCATTTGATAATCGATTTTCAATAGGCAGTTGAACTAAAACTTCATTGGAGAAACTTCAAAGTAGTATTCTAAAGCAGTTTCTTTTAGATTCCTCAAAATCAGTATTTTTTAACCCTCTTTTTTTCATTTCAGGTGTGCATGGAGGACGGTAGTATTGAGGATTTATCTCGTAACCTAGCGGTCTGTGGTATCGAGCTCTATGACCCGACAGCTGAGGTGTGCTGCGACGATTTCATCAGAGGGCGATTCGATGAGAATGGTTACGAGAGGGAGTGTTGTCCTGGAACTACCATCTCTTTTATTCCTGCGCTCCAAACATGCTGCATGGCAACCGTCAGCGATATCCCAACCGTTGAATCCGGGTAAGAAACCACTTTCGGGTGAAATTCTCTTTACATGAAAACTGAACTCGGCAATCATTGTTATGTAATTGTATTTGTATATATAATTATCAGAAAAACTTCTTCCACACGGTAAATCAATATTTTGTTTTACAAAAGCATATTTACAAATATGAAATAAAAAAAAATATATTATTGTATATGAGAGGGTATGTAGCACTGACTAAACAATTTCCCTTTTGCTTCACCGCAGATGCTGCCGTAACCAAGCTTACAGCACCTCCACGGACATGTGTGACAATAGAGGAATCATCCGACCTCTAGACGAAGTAGCAGATCACCCAGAGCTCTGCGGTAACATCCCATATCATCCTGATGAATATGTTTGCTGTGGTCAACGACTACTTGGTGCTGGTGAAATCTGTTGTATGGGCTACCCAGCACGGTTACTAGAAGGCTCGCAAGATGGAGAGTGTTGCGGCCTTTATGCATTTGATCCTACCACCGAGATGTGCTGCAATGGGATTGTCCATATGACGTCAAACAGTGGTAGGTACTGGTCGTTGGTTCACCGGAAGCAAAAGTCTAAACTAAAAAATTGTAGTACCAATGGCATTAAGAATTGCCGGAATCGACACTAGCATTATGGAATTATGATAAACATGATGAAAAAGCTGTTTCACGCAATACTTGCTACCTTCAGATTTCTATTTAGATTTCAAATAATTATGTTCTTTCTTATTTTTTGTTTTTTATTTGAAATATTAGACGCATTCTGCTGTGGTTATGATCTCCTAACCGATCCTGACAACCAGATTTGCTGTGATGAATATCTCCGTGAACGACATGGTGGTCGAGATGAGTGCGATGGTCAGGCTGCTTTTAACCCTATTACTGAGACCGTGTGCAATGGATGGGTATTTCCCCTATCACATGGGGACTGCTGCGATGGTCAAGCTTACGATGATACTAACCACATCTGTTGCAACGGAAATATGTAAGTAGGCCTTACTTGAATCGAATAAAAGTTCTAAACAACTTTTAATTATAAAGCGGATATTCTAAAGTCTTTTAAAATATAATGTTTCCAATCTCAATTTCGGGGAAATGGATGTTCTTTATTTTAACGTTATGTATTCAATAAATCAACATTATTCACTTTGTGTTGATGCTAAACAAATGTACCCTTTATGCGTTGAATTTACAGACATACCCGAACAAGCGAGCGGACAGAATGTTGTGGCACTCAGATCTATGAAACCGACGACCTAATCTCCGTCTGTTGCAATGGACACCTTAGCCAAGGGCAAGCTGGGCTTGCATGCTGTGGTGATATGACATACGATCCTCGCGCAGAGAGCTGCTGTATGAATGACCTGTTCCCTTTTACCCAGTCCAGAATGGCCGAACCGATCATGTCTTGTTGTGACGCTGATACCTACCGAAGCTCCCAACACACCTGTTGCGGTGGAGTCGAGCACAAGTTTATCTCAGATGGTGAATGCTGTGGTATTGACATCATCAGGAACCCGGAGGAAGAAATCTGCTGCGGAGGAAAGGTTTGGCCCAGGTACCCTGGTGAAATCGCCGAATGCTGCGGTGGTGAACTGATCGACGCCAACTACCAGACATGTTGTAATGGTATTATCCTCTACATGGGAGACTCTACAGAATGTTGTGGTGGCAGCGTCATCAATACCTACATGCAGACTTGCTGCGGTGGTGAAGTACAGATGATCAACGATGAAGTCGGATGCTGCAATGGAATGTCGTTTTCATCGACAGAACAAGGCTGTTGCAATACCCAAATCTTCGATGTCACGACGGAGATGTGTTCTGAACTAAACATTATCATGCCACTAGAGTCTAGTATCTCTGATTCCGATGAAGAGGTCAATAATGGAGCGAACTTCCAACTGCTATGTGACGGGATGGAGTATGATGTATTGACAGAGACCTGCTGCGGTAACTTCGTGTTCGATCTGCGGGATGATTTGATATGCTGTAACGGTAAACCATCGGACGCATCCACAGGAAAGACATCTTGCTGTGAAGGCACTCCTTACAATCCTTCTCGCTTTGACTGCTGTCAAGGAGAGCTGCATCACAAGGTTGACGATGCCGAATGCTGTGGTGTTTCTTACTACCAACCTACCAAAGAGACTTGCTGTGACGATCACACCATCAGCACTCGAGGAGAGAGATGTCCCAACGACTTGCCTGCACAACAAGGTATGCGGAATTATATTTCTATTACAAATTTACCTAAAAACAGGAATACAAAGGAAATAATAAACAAACAAACAAAATGGTACGGAAAGTAGGTAATTATAATTATTTTTAAGATCTTAGATCTTATTTTCCCTAATTCTAATGTTTCTTTTTGTTATCTTCAAACCTTCTAATTGTTCATTTGGTATTCATTCTCATTCTTCAGACCCTCAGTGCCTTTGCAACTTGCGGCACAGGAGTGATGACATCCCGTCAGCTTGTACTGACGGACTTCAAACCAAACAGCAAATTCTCATCGCCATCATTGCCGACATCGGAAGCAGAGACAGTTCCCCGTCGTATTCTATAGAGATAGTCGAAGCTCTTCGTGGGGCTCTACCAGTCGTACCTGAAGATGCTAATGGTAGAATCCCGATTGTGATATCAAGCCACAGTGGATGCAATGCTCCATCTTTCAGACGTGGTCAAAAGGTCGCTCTTTTCCTAGATTCTAGGGTACGGTTCGAGGAACCTACACTCCAGCTCACAAGAAGCGATGTCATCATGCCATACAACCGACGACTGGTTGGCAAACTCAACAGATTTCTTAACCAGCTAGACTAGACACGCGCATACGGTTGGTTGGGAAACTGAACAGATTTCTTAACCAGCTAGACTAGACACGTGCATACGGTTTGTTGGGAAACTCAACAGATTTCTTAACCAGCTAGACTAGACACGCGCATACGGTTTGTTGGGAAACTCAACAGATTTCTTAACCAGCTAGACTAGACATGTGCATACGGTTGGTTGGGAAACTGAACAGATTTCTTAACCAGCTAGACTAGACACGCGCATACGGTTGGTTGGGAAACTCAACAGATTTCTTAACGAGCTAGACTAGACACGTGCATACGGTTGGTTGGGAAACTCAACAGATTTCTTAACCAGCTAGACTAGACACGCGCATACGGTTGGTTGGGAAACTCAACAGATTTCTTAACCAGCTAGACTAGACACGCGCATACGGTTGGTTGGGAAACTCAACAGATTTCTTAACCAGCTAGACTAGACACGTGCATACGGCTGGTTGGGAAACTCAACAGATTTCTTAACCAGCTAGACTAGACACGCGCATACGGTTGGTTGGGAAACTCAACAGATTTCTTAACCAGCTAGACTAGACACGTGCATACGGTTGGTTGGGAAACTCAACAGATTTCTTAACCAGCTAGACTAGACACGCGCATACGCCTGATATCTTACTGTTTAACTTATAGTTTCTTTATAAGAAAATCACGAAAGAGAAAGAACATGATATCGAGAAGAACAAAATTGCTGCTAACGTAATGGCTGAAAAAGATTTATTCGTTAAATTATTTTTTGTTTAATACATACACAACGATGAGCTCGTGACCTATGTTATGACGTTCGTGAATATGGGTCCTGTTGCCAACTGATGTAATGCTATTAAAATGAAGTATATTCATCACAGTGAAAACAGAGATACTCCTAGTAATACATATCGTTCAATAATAATTATTATATTTAGTTGTAAAATTGTGTCCATATTTTCTTATGTTATATACTAGTACCATAAACGTATCTCTACACAAAAATTAGGATGTAATTCAATGTTTGATTTACCTCCTATGTTACCCAGGAGGAGAGGTGTAAATCATCGCCATTTGATTTTACACAATTATTTATGTCAGTGATCTTATATTCTTGCATTTTAGTTGTTATTGAATTTTTATCATAAAATATTACATTTCAAGAGGTGGTCCAGCTTCCTTGTATATTGGCTATAAACTTATATTTGTTCCTAAGTACGATTGTTATTCTACCGATTTATTATGTCTACGGTATATCATTTTTATACTATTTTTGTCAAATTAAAGCAATGATATAGCCTAATCAATATTGATGGAATAATAAATTAGAGACTTTTAATTCAATTTTGAATAATTGTTCAAGTATTAGAACTAAATCATATATACTTATGAGAATGACTTTGTCATATTTTATTTCAATATATTTCTTTTCAATGTAACGTGATACTAATTTCAAGGTCCTAGATTTTATATTCTAAATTGTCATATATTACAAATTTTGTTTTGTAGACTAGTTACTTTATTCCTTTTAGAACATATTCTGTTCTTTTCATTTATCATGTTATTCCATAAAAATTATTACCAAGTGGTAATATAGTTAACAACGTAAACCACATTGGTATACTTTATTTAATATTCTGTGTCCCGGTATGGGGTTATTCGTAATTTTGCTCTTTTTCCATTATTTACCGTAAGAATGTATATATGAAATTCACTGTAAAGTTTACATGAATGAGTATAAAAACGTTAGTCAAGAATCTTCACAAATGTTCACTGCCATGACATTTTGTTCATGAAAAATTATTAGATTCAGATTTAACTTCAAAACTAAAGTTTTTTTACATTAAAAACTCTGTAATGTGAGGTTTTTCTCACTTTCTGTCTCTTCTTATGCATTGTACTGTAATAACCTTTTCATATGAAAGTAACAAAAAATTACACGATCTTTTATCTTCGTATCTTTGTATTTTTCTTACAACTTATATGACACCACTGAATTAAGGAGGTTGAAAGCGAAACCATTTAATGTAATTTCAGATATAAAAATGACGCAGAATAATGTATTGAAGTGTGTAGCTCAAAAAAACTTGTACGTATGAAATAGTTGTGGAGCATAAATTGCACATTGGCTCTTCTTTATGTGATATACATTTTCAGATTTCAAATGAGTGTATCGATGTTATAGTAAATGTTACTTCCTACTGAAGTTCCTAGGTAGGGGGTTATACATTATTTATGCGGATCGTTTCAGATTCAAAAGTTGAACAAATATTTTGAATATATATATAAAGCTTGAAAACTTTCTATATTCATTAATTTTATTGTGTGTTTGATGTCATCATTTTTTATCATAAATCGTTATTTATGATATTTATTTATCTTTTTTTTTAATTTGAAAATTTCTATATTACAATAAAGTATATAATTTATTTAACAAATTGTCATTTATCTCCTTTTTAGAGACTCCAGTATCCTGCTAGTGATATACATAGTTCAAGTGATGGTGATGGTGGTGGTGATGATGGTGGTGATGATGATGATGATGATGATGATGGTTACGATGATGATGATAATGGTGATGAAAAGAAAAAAAAAATCCCAAAGGGGGGGGGGGGGGTTTTAGAGGAATTTAGGGGGGGTTTACACACAAAAAATTACCAAAGGGGGAGTTTAACCCCCCAAACACCCCCCCCCCCCCCTGTGTACGCGCCTGTTGTTATCACATAACTCTTAAACATTTGGATCTGATGCACACGTCTTGATTTGTGGTAAGTTCAGACAGTAAGGCGTCGTAGTAATACCCCCCCCCCAACCGACAGTCACTAGGTGGCAGTAGTACAAAACATTCATATTATACTATTCAGTATAGGAGATTAAAGTTAGCAACCAATATAGAATACTAGAAAACACTAGGGAATTTCTAACCATTAAACCACGAAACTATTTCCCCCCGATGTCATACATCTTTTTCTTCAGACAAGAAAATAATGTTACTTCATTGCATTATGACAGATCCAATACCTTGGTGTTTATATTAATCATAAAACTAAAGTTTCATGAAATTTGAATTCAGATAACTTATAAGCCAATGATTTTGTAAGAGAATGCCAAATCATTGTGTGGATTAAATATCAATGCACAAGAAATTTGGAATGACATTTGTCTCTGACGTTTTGCTATATCGAAACATATTATGCCATTAGCATCCGTACCCTATTGCTGCCAATTTTACATTGCATTACATTACATTGAGCAAAATAAGATGGCATATAATTAGCTGAGAACATCATACCGTAACCAATCAGGAGTATGGAATATGAAAATACTCTTCTTCTAAATAAGCCTTAAATCAATCCATTATTGTCCGACATACCTTCCTTCATGCATTGTTTTGTATCTTGGAGTGAGAAAAAAAATGGGGAGCTAAAAGTTTGAATCCAGAAAATTTATAAAATTCTAAGGCAATCAATGAGAGATTAATAGGCTTCAATAATTAAGATGCTGGATAATTATCTGTTATCAAGATTCAAATTCAAATTCATATTCAAATTCGAAATTTATTGTCCAATGATTGGAAATTTGTTCCGTTTGCATGTCAGTACAAGATTACAGATTATAAACATCAATAAGATACAAATGGATACAGAATAGTATTTTGACTCGAATATAGGTAACACAAAAAACTCATAATTCGGACTAAATTCAATTCATAATTCGGATTAGATTAAATTCACAATTGAGATTAAATTCATTTATGATTCAGACCAATTCAATTCATAAATCAGATCAAATCCAATTCAAATCCTGATCACATTCAATTCATAATTCAGATGTGTTCTACTAACATAACAAGAAAATAATTCACCCCATCAACGGTAGTCGATGTGGAGGTTGCAATCGTATAAAAGTTCCCTTTTTATTGGGCAATAATGGAGTAGGGTAATTGGTAATAACTGGTAATAAAATTTGCAGTATAGTTCACCGATGAAACGGATGATGCAATCTTGATCGCTGACAAAAACGAAAAGGAAACATGACCATAAAGATGAATGAGACGGAAAATAAGAAATTGATTTTAAAAGATTTAATGGTAAAGAAGAAAGAGGAGGAGGGGGTGAAGATAAAAGAAGGGGAAGAGAAGAGGGGAAGCTTCATTTTACATGATGAGGTAGTTCATTCCATAACATTGGTCCTTTAAAGAAAACTGAATTTTTAGACACAGAAGTTTTGATAAGTGGTTTATGTAAATGTGATGATTCTCTAGTTTCATATGAATGTATTTCAAAATTCAAATGAAATTTGTTTAACAAATCTAGGGGGATAATACCTTTATGACATAAAAACATAAATATAACAATATTACAATCATTCAATTCAAATACATTCAAACATTTAACACGAACAAAATAGGATCTGTATGGGCAAGATAATGGGATCCAAAGATAATACGTAACGCCTTCTTTTGTAATTTATATAATCTATTCATACAATAATCATTTGAATTTGCCCAAACATTATTGCAATAATTTAATTGTGATTAAAACAATGCATTGCATATCATTGATAAGATCTTACAAGGGAAATGTTTTAATTTATGGAAAATACCAACTACTTTCGAGAGTTTATTACAAATTGCTTCAATATGATCGTGCCATATCATTTTACAATCAATTTGAATACCTAAAAGGTACAACACTAAATAATATTTCCATTAAATGTCTGCGATCAATATCAACTCAAAAAACCCTGCTAAAGATTTTTTCGTCATAATCTTCTTCTTTTCACTTGTCCTCAACTATAGTTTTAATACGGTCAATCCCCACTTTTATTTTTTCTGTTGAGACTAGCAATGAAAGGTAATTATTATATATTTATATGACAATTTCTATCCGTAGTTAAGGATCTTGTTTTTAAAAAGAGAGTGAGATTCCGATATTGCAAAATGATTTCGGGAATTTTCTTCTTGAAGATAATGACTCGGAAGATAGTTGAACGGCATGAGCCCATTAAGATCAAGGAGGGTATTATTAATCTTGTTATACATTTAAATAAATAGTATCACTACTATACTGAGACTATGTGTGCTTGATAGAATAAACTAGTTTCACAAACGTATAGTGATCGCTGTAATAAATCAGTTTTAAAAATGTATTATGTACAAAACATATTTGAATGTCTCCCGAATTCTTGTAGGGTTATACTTTCATTGTATATAGCTCATATCATACCGTTACATTAATGTGACTGAATTTCCATTTTTAGGCATGACGGGGCTCCAGTCTTGGGACGGGTCTGCCCCCCCCCCCCGGCCTTATAAGATGTCTGAAATATGCGAGGGGGTAAAATTACCAAAATGGAGAGAGTATGTGGGAGGGGTCGTATTTTAAATTTTCTTTTCAGTTACGCGCTTCCTTTTGTAAATATATTCCTTTCTCTCTAATACCCACGTCCCTCTCTCTCTGTCTCTTCCTTTTTTTCCTTCTTGTTTTTTAATTATATTTGCAAAGAAAAATCAGATGTCCGACTGACAACCGTCAAACAGAAAGCATTAGATTCCTATCATGATCTATAATTATTGTACCCAAACTTTTTTTTCTACCACAATTTTCGGAAGTCGCCATTATAGAAAAACCACATTATTTCAAGGACCTTCTATATTTGAACGCCCTTATAGTTATACCCGCCTCTAAATAATCTCACTTCCGGGGGAAAGTGTTTGTGGAGGACTCACTAGTTTCAATTTTGAAATAAATAAAGTTTTTCATAATTATTTTGTCTTGTCTCTGTCATGAGTATGTGGGTACATGGTCAGTCTTTCATTGTTGGCTAATGGTCAAGGATATGAGAGTTACAAGGCGAGAGTGAAAGTAGTGATTACCGCGCATCATAATTCGATTTTCTAGTAACTTAATCCATTTTTATGCCAAATTTCACTTCCTTCTCTCTCTCGGTAACAAAAATAATTTTGATACTACAGTCAAACCTGCTTTAGTGACCACCTGTCTACAAAGACCACCTGTCTACAAAGGCCACATTTGTCGTTTCCCTTGAAAATGGTTTCTCATTGAATCGTGTACCAAAGGAACCTGTCTTCAAAGACCACCTGTCTTCAAAGGCCAATTTTGGTGTTTCCCTTGGGCGGTCGCTATAGACAGGTTTGACTGTACTACTACTACTACTACTACTACTACTACTACTACTACTACTACTATTACTACTACTACTACTACTACTACTACTACTACTACTACTACTATTACTACTACTACTACTACTACTACTACAACTACTTCTATTACTACTACTATTTCTACTACTACTACCACTACTAATATTACTATTACTACTACTACTACTATACTACTACTAGTACTACACACAAGTAGTTAATTTCATTCAACTGAATTGTATTGTATTAGTGATATTTTATTTTATTGTGTTGCTTTTAAGCTATTGAACATACTATACTGAGCTATAGGCAACACCACCTGTCGCTTAGAAACGCCCGTA